TGTGTGTGTGTGTGTGTGTGTGTGTGTGTGTGTGTGTGTGTGTGTGAGAGAGAGAGAGAGAGAGAGAGAGACGCACCGGCGAACAGGTAAGTCTCCAACCCCGCTCCTAGCCTCACGTTATTTCCATCGATAGGATGAGCAAAATCAAATTGCCTGCTGGCCGGTGCGTTGCTCATTCTATCGATGGACAACTCTCTCTCTCTCTCTCTCTCTCTCTCTCTCTCTCTCTCTCTCTCTCTCTCTCTCTCTCTCTTGGCTAGCCACGTAGCGGCCCATTTTTCTTTTGTTTTTTTCATAGGAGATGGCTATGGTGGGATCTTTGTCACGTTGTTTGACGAAGGAGGAGCGGGAGGAGGAGCGGGAGGAGGAGCGGGAGGAGCGGGAGGAGGGATGGGAAAAGGAGCGGGAAAAGGAGGAGTGGGAGGAGGAGTGGGAGCAGGTGCGGGAGAAGGAGCGGGAGGGGAATTGCGAAGGGGCGGAGGAGCCGCGGGAGGAGGAGCTGGAGAAGGAGCGGCAGGGGAAACGGGAAGGGGGTTAGGAGCGGGAGAAGGAGCACGAGGAAAAACGGGAAGGAGCGGAGGAGGCGCGGGAGGAGGGGCGGTAGAAGGAGCGGGAGGGGGAGCGGGAGGGGAAACGGGGAGGGGGTTAACGAACGCACGGGAGGCGGAGGAGGGGGAGGAGATATAGGTGGAGGAGGAGAAGCGGGAGGAGCGTGGTGGCCCATTTTTCTTTTGTTTTTTTCATAGGAGATGGCTATGGCGGGATCTTTTTCACGTTGTTTGGCGGAGGAGGAGCGGGAGGAGGAGCGGGAGGAGGAGCGGGAGGAGGAGCGGGAGGAGGAGCGGGAGGAGGAACGGGAGGAGCGGGAGGAGCGGGAGGAGGGATGGGAAAAGGAGCGGGAAAAGCAGGAGTGGGAGGAGGAGCGGGAGTAGGTGTGGGAGAAGTAGCGGGAGGTGAAATGCGAAGGGGCGGAGGAGCTGCGGGAGGAGGAGCTGGAGAAGGAGGAGCGGCAGGGGAAATGACAAGGGGGTTAGGAGCGGGAAACGGGGAGGGGGTTAACGAACGCACGGGAGGCGGAGGAGGGGGAGGAGATATAGGTGGAGGAGGAAGAGCGGGAGGAGCACGAGGACAAGCGGGGGAAGGAATAGGAGGGATTGGGAAAGAGCATGGGAAGCAGCGGGAGAAGGAGAAGCAGCAGGAGGGAGAGCGGGAGAAGGAGAAGGAGGACGAGAGGGAGGAGCAGCAGGAGAACGAGCGGGAGCGGGGCTATGGCGGGATCTTTGTCACGTTGTTTGGCGGAGGAGCGGGAGGGGGAGGAGGAGGAGGAGGAGGAATGGGAGGAGCGGGAGAAGGAGAAGGAGCGGGGAAGGAGGGGGAGCGGGGCTATGGCGCGGGAAGCGGAGCGGGAGGAGGGGGAGGAGGAACGGGGAGAAAAGCAGGAGAAGCAGCGGAAGGAGGACGAGCAGCAGCAGGAGTGGGAGGAACAGCAATAGAGGGAGCGGGAGAAGGAGAGGGAGGAGGAGAGGGAGGAGGAGCGGGAGAAGAAGCGGGTGTGGGGCTATGGCGGGATCTTTGTCACGTTGTTTCGTGGAGGAGGAGCGGGAGCAGGAAGAGGAGTGAGAGGAGCGGGAGGAGGAGCGGGAGGAGGGGTGGGAGAAGGAGGGGGAGAAGGAGGGGGAGAAGGAGGGGAGGGGATTCACGATGGGGTTGCATCTCACAGCCTCTTGCTCCATACTCTCCTTCTCATTTTACGCATTTGAAGGCTGCTCAGTTCATGCACACATGAAACTGTTGAAGCGGTCCTGCTTGGGCGTGTGCGCGCGTGTGTGTATGTGTGTGTCACTCACACACACACACACACCTGTCTCTTATACACATCTAGATGTGTATAAGAGACAGGTTCAATTTCTGAACGGAAAACCCGCGTTCAATGAA